TACACCACTCGGGGTATCCAAGAACTTTCCAGGACAGAGAGAGATGTGCTGAGAACTTTCGGTTTTCCCCTCGGCAAGAACGAAGGAACGACCCAGGCTGATCGTGAATTTCATCAACGACCTAAGAAGAGTGTCCGAAAAGCCCTATGGAGAGGAGCACAGCGTGCAAGTGCATTTTTTACTCTCGGCCTCGCGGCAGCTTCCTCATTTCTGAGTGAGCATATGCCTGCCGGGAAGTCCCCAGGACAAGCGTGTTTGTTCGAGATCGGTGGCACTCAGATGACGTACCAGTTCGTGGAGGCGGGCGCTCATGTCATTGAGCCGCTATCTTGGGACGAGTACTTTGATTCCGATTGCAAGATTGATGTGAATCACACCATTAAGAATCTGAAGCCCAACTTAGTCTGGTTCCAAGGTGATGTTTGTTCTTCTTTACTCCACAAGAACATCCAGCACACTATTGAGTGCCAGCTCAACTGTGGTGGTTCGGTAGTTCTACAGGCTCAACTTCGTGATCCATTCTGGACTTCCCTTGCTCTAGATGCTCTTGTTAATCAACACGTTCATTCTTGTGAGGACAGCGGTGATCTACGCACTCTTCGCCTTGGACAACATGTCGGCCTTGAACAGGAAGGCTACCCGAACCAGGACAGCGACCAGCATGTTCACCAAGAGTACATGACTTCTAGGGAACAACAAAAGCCTGTTGATCGAGAAGGAGCATCTGCTATTCGTTTCGAGGGTAACGTCCCTTCTCATGTTCAAGTTGCTCTCAAGAGACTTCACCAGAATCTCGGACACCCTCGTATTGTCGACATGCTGAGGCACTTGCGGTATGCAGGTGCAGATGAAGGGGTCTTGAAAGCTTGCAAAAAGATGCGTTGCGAGGTATGTGACAGAAATCAGAACACACACGTCGCCCGCCCGGCGACACTTCCTTCGCTACTCGACATGAACCAGCTCGTCAGCATCGATGTGTTTCATGCCTTCGATGTTGATCGTGTGCGACATGAGTTTTTGTCCGTGATAGACCATGCTACCACCTTCCATCTGGTGTGCGAACTTCAAGGACATTCTACGGAAGCTTTCTGTCGTGGGTTCACCCAGTTGTGGGGAAATGTTTTCGGCGCTCCAGGAACAATATCAACCGACCTCGAGACAGGTCTTCAGGCTGGAATCACCAAGTACGCTGAGTTCCATGGCTGCAAACTGAGGACTTCCGCTGGGCAAGCCCATTGGCAACAGGGGGTGATTGAACGGCACGGGCTCTGGTTTCAGGAGATCCTGCAAAGGGTGATCGACGAAAAATCTATTACCAGTGAAGACATGCATCTGGCGGTGCAGGCAGTGAACAGCGCAAAAAATGAACTCAGACGCCGACATGGATTTTCCCCCACACAGGCCGCTTTCGGCCGTGATCCTCGATGTCCAGAGGAGTTGTGCGGCAGCAACGATGAGGAGCGGTTCATTGAGGTGATGTCTTCAGACAGTAGACGTCAGAGAGAAGTGAGCATCAGGACAGCAGCGAAGATGGCATTCTTCCGTACACAACTGGATTCGAAATTCAGGAAAGCGCTCATTCAAAGGAGCCGCGTGAAGCGGGGAGGGTATGCAGTAGGAGAGTTGGTCAGTTTTTACAGGATCGAGAAGGTGGCCACCAAACGGGGTTCCTGGAGAGGCCCGGGCACAATCATCGGAGCTGAAGGGGGAAACTGGTGGGTTTCGTTTGGGGGACGTTGTCATCTTGTTGCCGAGGAACATCTTCGTCCTTCATCACCAGAGGAAGTTGGCGATATTTTATCTTCTAGAATTGCTCGCGACGATTTGGAGAAGCTCCTCAACCTTGATCCCGACGATCCCTCCACCTACGAATCAGTAGAAGAACCAGAATCTTCCGAGGCCGTACTTCATCCTGACGGAGATCCTGGACAGGATCACCAAGCGCCTTCTGATGAGGAGATGGTCGAGGACATGGACTTTGCTCTTGAATTAGAGGGTGCTGGTCCTTTGGAAGGGCTCGATGATTCTGAACGAGCTTCTGCTAGTGAACGTAGACAGCTTGATCAACCTGTCCCATATGGTCCCGTTCGGAAAAGGGTGCGACAGAAAGGCCCCCAAAATCGAGAACATTCAGTGCATATGATGAAGAGATGCCAGACTGACCGGGCACTTGAGAAGGCTCTTGAAAAGGAGCTGCCGTGGAAGTTGATCCCTGAATCCGAACATGCAGCTTTCAGGTCAGCCGAAGACAAGCAGTTCAATGAACACTTGGACCACCAGGCACTCAAGCCCTTGAGCGTCGAAGAATCCGCTGATGTTTTGCGTCGTGTAGATCCCTCAAGAATTTTGACATCAAGATTTGCTTATCGTGATAAACACTGGTCACGGCGCAAACTGGATCCAGGATTGCCCTGGAAACACAAGGCACGACTCGTTGTGTCAGGACATCGCGATCCAGACGTCAAGTGCCTTGAAACGGATGCCCCAACAATCAACCGCCTGACCATTCTCACTCTCCTACAGGTTCTGGCGAGCCGCAGGAAGACCCACGACTGGGTCGCAGCCGCTGGGGACATCACCGCGGCTTTTCTGAATGGTGATGACATGGATCGCGAACTTTATCTTCGACAACCCAGGACCGGGCTTAAAGGGCTGGATGCAAGACAATTACTTTTGATCACAAAAGGGGTGTTCGGGCTACCTGATAGCCCTCGCAAATGGTGGAGACGACTACGACGCGATATGCTCAACATCCGCATCCACATTGAGGGAGAAGAGTGTTTCTTCACTCAATGCGCTCTCGATCCATGCCTCTTTCAGCTGGTGTCGGCCAAGGACCCCGTCCCTAAGGTTTACATTGGGGTTCACGTTGATGATCTTCTCGTTGTGGGCCCCAGGGTTTTGTCCAACTTGGTCAGAGAGAATCTGTCTGCTACCTTCCCAGTCGATGATTGGGAGATTGATGATTTCGATTGTATAGGTTCTCACGTCCGGGTGTCGGAGGATGGAGTTTTTCTCAGTCAAGAGCCGTATGCCAGCTCAAGGTTGTTTGAACTATCCATCGAGAAGGGGCAGGCCGATCTTGATCCTGCTTCCGAAGAGCAACGCATCGACAATCAGTCGTTGATTGGTGCTCTCAGTTGGCTTGG